GGTGCCCGGTGCTAGTGCAACCCTCTGCTGTCCTGCTTCTGGTTGATAAGATAGGACTAAACAATACTGATTTTAATTTTAAAGAATATCAAGATAGTCAACTTACTTCTCTAATGAACTTTTTTCTAATCTCTCTTTCTCTTTCCTCTGACGTTCTTTGTTCTTCTTGACTCGAGCCTCCCAGAGTCCTCTTATGAGCGAAAAGTCAAATATTATCACCTGATGCCCCATACTGCTGACATTAAACTTCTCCTGCAAGAACAAGGCATCGTGAACATTTAATGCAAGCACTAAGGAAAAAATAAGGAAAACAACCATCATGTTTCAGCAAACCTACCTGGGCAAAGAAGAATCCAAAATAATACTAATACAATGTGCTCTCTACCTTATATATTTTTTCTAGAGTTTTGTGCCCATAGTGATCAATGCAGCATAGAAGGGATTTCCACACAAAATCAACTATAGACGAGGGCTGAATGTTGAATTTATTGAGCCCTGCACTTTTCCCTTTCTAAAATAAAGACACAGTTGCAAAGAACTACTAATCTGATGAAAATAATTTGAATGACTTTGTGTTTTCTTACAATCTAGGCAACGAGCATTGAAAGAAGTAATAAATTATTTATTAATCATAAATCATACACTTCAGCTTGAGTTCCCACTGTATTGTTTTTTATGCAGCCACGTTGATTCTGTCTCATAGTAATTGTGTCCATAAATATATCCTTATCTGTGAAATGTGTTGAAACACCTGCCCTATAACATACAGTGAAAGATTAACAATTGTTGAAATAAGTTAGTGTTTGTGAACACGATACCAATTTATAAGTACATGTAGAGTTTCCTTCCAGCAGTTCAAAGTATAAAAGTATTAGGTTCTGAGAACATCTTTTTATGTGCGGTTAAGAACTGAACTGAACTAGAGGCTAGTTCATCAATCTTTCTCTGTTGAATTAAGAAGACAGAAAAACTTCTTGCAAGGAGCCTTCCTTTTCCTGAAGTCAGTGATAAAGTACTCATTCCCTTTAATAAGCATCATGCTTGAGCTTGGCCAGATAAGAACTTTAAAGTCTTTCAGCTCTAGGAAAGAAATCTACAGTATCTTTAATAAGAGAAAACCTTATAGTTACACCTTATGAAACATAGTGTGACTAGCAATATGATGTTCCTTCCTAATTTGTAGCAATGGTTCAGTGGCAAAAAGAGAAAAAAACATCCTTGATATCACTAACAGAAGTGCAGATATAAATTTTCATAAGTAAAGCAGTACTCCTTTAGTCTCTTGTTGGAATCACTGGTGAGAGTGCAAGCCTCACAACACTTTTTTTTTTTTTTTTTTTCATTAAATGCAGCTACATTATCTACCAGTGACTTCTGTCAAGTTTAGTCCTTCAAAAAGTGATCCACTAAACCACTGTGAACGTGTATTATTAAATAGAAATTTGAAAGATTTTAAAAACAATTGCTTCCACCAAGATAGAAGTACTTTGTTTAAGGTTAGGTTTTTTAGATGCTACTTTTATTATACCACTCATTAGCTTAAAAAAAAATAATGGAAAGAATGAAACTGCACTGAAATATCTACTGATAATTGGGAAAGTAATGTGCCCTTTCCCTTACAGGATATTTTTAAGGTTTCTGTTTTTCTGTTATAATACTGAGGAAGAAGCAGAAAATATTCTCCCCTCTACATTGTTCCACTTGTAGTTTCATAACTGCCTCTTTCTTCTTCATCTCTCTTTAATACACAACATACAAAGAAATAATATTTTCTGAGCCAGAAAACACCCTCATATCCTCTAGAAGACACATAATGTGTACTAAAATGAATTATGCAGATATACACTAAGAAGAAAGGTTCCTACCTGTCCACCTTATTTGTCATAATTGTAAAACTACTCCAAATGCTGGCACAGAGATACTGGTAAGAGATTGATATTTTTATAAGACAAAGTCTTCTTTACCTTAGTAAAGATCTTAGATCTACTATCTTTGCTGTTCATAGAGGTTGTTTATATTTACAAGCACTAATAATTACGCAAAAAATAATTTTATAGCTTATCTGTTACTGGTTGCTGACAATAGACAAGTTAAAAACCTGCTAATAATAGTGTAAAGAGAATGATGACCTTATTCTCAGTTGAATGGTTTATCAATAATCAGATATACCTTTTAAAATTGCTTTCATCTGTTATCACCTAAAATAAAACACTCACCTCAATTGTCTAAACGAAGAAACAGCAGCAAGGACTTCCTCCTCACAGTCACTGCAGTCACTCTGCAGGCTCTAATTCATTTTAATTCATAGCTAGCGTTTTGGGAGGGCTATTGCGGGAGCCGAATTGCTGAGAGATGTTGAAGTGGCAGTTGAGCACTCAAACTCTGTTAAACCTAGATGGCCTTAATCAACACAAAGTCTAAGTGAATTCTGTAAGTATTTTATTTTTTTTACTTGTTTCCCATCTTCCTGTCTGCCAGGTTAAGTCATCTGTTCTTTATTAAGACATTGGTCTAGTAGAGACTCAAGGTGAAAAAGTTCATTTGACTTTCATCCACAAATTGGATTACATTGCATGCATTGGGATTTCACTGCAATTGTAAAACAAAAAAAAAGTGGAATACAGCTAGGAGGTAAGAGGTGCCCATCAAAACTCCTGAGGACTATTCTGTTCAAACTGAACACAGCCACAAATATGATGTGAAGACAGCATCTACCAAGGCATAATTAGGTGGTTGAAAGTTTAATGCTGTCTTACCTGGGTAACAACTACATCTGTAATCTGCTGGAGATTATCAGTTCACCTTTCTTATCTAACATTCTACAAATGCTCTTTCAGTCTTATTAGAATTATTAGTGGAAACGCATCATGAAAGAAAGGCTCTTCAGCAATGTAATCTGCGAGAGATACAAAAGTAATGTATCCTATTTTATTATGCTGGCCTATGACATCACTGATGCTTGCTGGTCATTCATAGAGACCAAACAGTGGATGTGTGTTTGCCAAATCAGGCAGTGTGTGGTGTGTTTCAGCAGTGGTGACAGCAACATGAAAGATGAGCCATGTTCCAAACAGCTGTGCACAACTGTCACACCATGAAATGAAGTGTCTCAATCTGCTCGTCCATGCAAATCAATGGATTACAACCAGGAAACTGTATACGGAGCTGACTCTTGGCTTCAGAGGAAATGATGGTAGCAATACTGAAATATTGCAAATTTTGTGCCAGGTGGGTGCCACAAATGCCCACGCAGGAAGAGAAAGAACACCATATGGAAGTTTGTCAGAATCTATCAAACCAATATGAGAATAAGACAGTGCTGACTAAGCTGAAGGCTCACACTTTCTGAGTTAAGACAGAGAAGAATACCAGGTTCTCTTGCTGCATGGTAACACAAGGGCCATATCAGTATGAAGACTGTGGCGCACATTGCCAGTCTTGGCCCTACCACACGCAACATATATTCTGGATTTGGCACCTTCTGACTTCCACCTGTTCAAGTCAATGAAGTAAATAAGCTGAGTGGGCAACACTTTCCTTGCAACAATGCCATGACAGCAGCTGTGAAGCAGTGAGTCACCTCTGCTGCTGCAGATCATTATGAGCACAGCATGCAGACTCTTGTTCATTTCTGGTGAAAGTTAATAGTGGTAGCTACATTGAAAAATAGTGTTTTGTAGCAGAAAATTTGCTGTATCAAATAGTGTTACTGTGCTCTTTATATCTGTTGTAGTTTCCACGGAAATAAATAGGAGCCATTACATTTGGAGTGATCTAGGCATCATAATGAGAGTACAGAACTTTCCAAGGAAGAGGACGGTCAGTAACATAAAGAGAAGAAAATATCTGCTTAGATATCTGCATGGAATATTTTTATTTTATCTTTTATTTTATTTTATTTTGTAAATTCCTCTAAAGATATTCAGATAGTTCTCTAGCACCTGCCTTATATTTTCTTCTTCCTGTTGTATGAGGACCCAGAAGCCATAGATTTAAATCTATTCATTAAGGTGTTTAAAAACCACAGATTGAAGAAGGTATCTGCCTTATAATATCTGCATTCTTTATTACTTATTATTTATTACTTATTGTTATTTAGTAGATCTGGTATGCTACGTCTTTAAAAACCTTGTTCCTTATAGCTACTGATATCTCCAACCCCACTGACTGCTCTACCACAGACTTGCTAGATATTTTCAAGGCTATCTTTGAAAATAGCCAGTACTCTCTCTCATGTCTGCTGAGTTCTACCTATCCTCACTTGGCCGTTGGCCCCCGTTACCAATGCAGCTTTTGACTCTTTGTTTTGGTTTGTTTTTCTGTTTTGTTTCTTTTACTGGGTTTAGGAAAAACAAGGAAAATGATCATTTGCACTACATCTGGAAGTGTTACAAGCCTGTGCTACAAAAGGCCACTCAAGCAACTGGGTTTTAAAATGTTAAAGGAGCTTCATCTGAGTAAGCTGTTCATATACTACCAGATGCCACAACATCACTGACCTTTGAGAATCAAACTGTTTAAGTACACATATGCTAAAAGTAACACTGAAATCCTACAGAAGTTCGCAGAACTGCACTTCAAAGTACAAGCTGCATTGGATTAACAATATACAACATTTCTGTAATAATTTTAGCACTGTACTGATGTATAGTCGCACTAAGGAGCGTACTACACAAAATTAAAGACAAAATTTTCTTTCAAAAGTAGTGGAGCACAGGGGGAAAACGTTCTTAAATATGAAAACTGTACAGCTTTCCAGGACTGACAATACCAAGTTTCCTATGGCTCTTTGGTGTCTATCAAAGTTATCCCTGTCTTGAGTGGTTTGAAAACAGCTAGTCAGATGGCAAAATTATATTAGTTTTATTATATGACAGTTTAGCCTCCTCTGAACAGTTTTAGTATCAGTGTTAATGGCCAACAAGTCTGTACTGTGCATTTGTAGAATAAGACCTATGTCTTCTCTTTAATCTCAAAGTTGTACAACGTAGTTTTGATATTACTAATCAGACAACATTAGTTAGTGTTAAAGCCCTCCAGAGTCTGAATGGGACCTTTCAGAATGAACACCAGGCATACCTTCATTTGCTGAGTTACCAAAATGTGAACATTTTTGTTCTTTAATTTGTTCAACAGTCTTGTTCACTTGAGACATTTCCTTTTAGATAATCACTATAGGAGACCTGCTGTAATCTTATTACTGCCTGGATTACATAGGGGAAAATGTGGGTGAAAATGTCTCCTAGTAATCTTGCAAATAATTTCTTATGAAATAAGCTCACTCACACAGTGTATGCTTCAGAATGATCAAGTCATTTATCCCATGAGTAATTCAAGAGAACTTGACATTGGATAGCATCTGAACATGTTTCTTTCTTTCTTTCTTTATGTACTTATTATGAAGGAAAGATTAAATTACAGAAATATGCTATGATTGAAGAAACAGTAGAAATGGTGACAATGTTCAAAGTTTACAACAAACACAGCTCATACGTGGGTCAGTGTTACACTGTGCCACTTTGGGAGAGGGAAGGAACTGCAGAACAGGAAGCTGCTCTACCATTCCTAGTCTTGCTGCTGGAAACAAGCCCTTGTTATATACCCTCAGGGCATTATTCTCCACACTGGATTTGCAGGTAAATTTGTAGCTAAACTCACCAAATATGCAGGTTTAATAGTTTGTTTTAGGGAAGAGATAGAAGCAGGTTTGTATACTTCAAATCACATATGCATCCATGTATAGGAAGCACATAGGCAGGGATCACAGCAGTCCCCAGTCTCCCTGGAGGCACTGGTCTGTAGACATCCAGAAAATTCTGCTACACCACAGAATAAATAGAAGTGGAAAGGGACAAGCTGCTTCAGGCTGGAGAAAGTCATCCTGACACTTGGACACAAGCCTAGATGTTTGGGGAGTTTGAAATGTTCCTTCCTGCTCCCTCAAGAGCACATTCTAAGCCAGCCAGCTCCTAGAAAAACAAACACAGACAGTAATACTTCCAAACTATTAGTACAGCTTTCACTGAAATTAATTTCAGAAATCAGCATTTTTGCATATCACAAGGTTTAAGCCTAAATGGTCTGATAAATCTAGTTAATTTTGAGTTTTCTACTTATATAAAGTAAGTTTTTAAGAACAGAATCTTAATTAAGATATCAGCCTGTTTCACAAAAAACAAACAAACAAACAAACAAACAAACAAACAAACAAA